AACATTGTCGATGTATCTTGTCTTGAGGTGCGAGTGAATTGCTTCCAGAAATGTGTTCACTCGTTTCGAAAAGGTTGGCGTGTTAGCGCCAAACATGTTGGCGACGGTGTCCCAAGACCCACAGTGCTTTAGGGACGTGACCGCCATGAAGAGCATATCGCGTCCAGCAACGTCACATTTACGACCCGATCCATTGTTCCATTGACGACTTATGGTTTGCTGTAGGTCGGACCAGAGGTGGTTGAACTCGGACAATGAGAAGTTCGTCATCTCATGAATGACGCTTGGTCCCTTGACTTGGACAAAGGCATCCATGATTGGAGCCGGTGACTCATGGTCTGCATCGTCATCACGAAGTATGTGCGAGTGACGTTGCCTTTTTGACTCACGTTTAGCTCTTAGAGCGTTGAGCAGGTCAACAGCTTGGTTGATCGAGCGGGCGGTGATCTTGCGTGGAGTCCTCTGCGAAGCTGTGGCGGCAGCCAGGGGTGGGGTGGGGGACATCGAAGCGAAAATTTTGAAAATGACTGGCGTCGCAGGCCATTCTAGCGCGTTTTCGCGCCATTGATGGGGTATTTAGTGATGCAAGTGGCCGTACAATACTTTACTTTTAGTATTGGATTTTTCGAGATTTTGGATGATGTCGCACTTCGTCGTTGCGTACTGTCATTTTGAAACGATATGCTGTCTTTTTGGAAATGACTGAGTGATTTCCGATAACACTCACCCACTATCAAATGATCAATCTGTCAAGTTCATAGATGATCCTTAATCAAGTGGTGAGGTGTTGTTGAATTCGTAAGTTCAATATGTGTAACAGGATTACTTCGTTTTGACGAAATCATTTCCGAGACCCTTGCATGAAATCGAAGTGTTGTCGATGATTGGTTAGGGACTTTGTCTTAACGTCAGGGGTCTACTGTAGTCCTGACGAATATTTGAGCAAAAGTCCAAGCGCTGAAGCAAGTGCTCAGGTTTGTGCTTCGGTTTCGTCCAGTTTGATCGACGTGTTACCCACTTGTGTTTGCTGTAGTTCCAAAAGGTCCAAGTCGAGACTCCAATGGCTGTTGACAATGCACGATACGTCTGACGCTGAGTCAAAGGTGTTGCCTTAATCCGCTGCTCGATCTCACTGATTGAGTAGGTTTTACGTCGCCCTGTGTTGTTCATTCGGGATGATACGTCAGCTCGGCAGCCTGGACTTGCCGTCGCTCAGCCGCGTTGCCATATCCTGGATATGGTCGAGGGGAGGGCACCGAACGTTTGCGCAATGGTCGCAATGGATGCACGTGAGACCTTGCCGTCCACACTGCGTAGAAGATCTTCGTATACAGCTCCTCGTTGCTCATTGGTAAGGTTTGACTTGGACTTTGTATGCAGACTTTGCATGCAACTTGTGTTGGCAGTTGTGCAAATAAAATTGAAACAAAAATACTGTGCGATAGAACTCGACGAGAGCTATTTAGCCACTCAATTTTGGGCCAATCCGTGAAGAATATCGTAACATTTTCGAATTGTTTGCAATTGTTACCAAACAGAGGTAGTAGTCATTGCTCTTGGAGGTATACCCTTCATAGGAAACAATCTCCGAAGTCTTGGAGCATTTTTATCTTACATTAGGCCCCTAAACCAGATACTGATAAAACAATTGAATACTTGTATGTTTCCATTATAAGTGTAGAGTATAACTGGCCCACTGACGAAGTCATCAGATACACCGAATAAAATTCACTTCCGGATAACTTGTCAGCCATCGCCAACCTTCCTAATTACAGCTTGAATTCTTCAGACAGTGCCTTGT